ACATTTTTTTAAAATAACTAGATAAAAAAAGTAATTGATATAATTAATAACATTTATAAATAATTAATAATTATTATTAATATATAATGCAGAACTAAAATTAATTAAATTAATTTCAATTATTATAAGATGAATAATAATAATTACTTTGCAACCTCACACACCCCACATAGATCGCACGTAGGCCAAGTTCAAAAGTAATGAAACAAGATAAGTTTTGCATATGAATCATCAGCGTTTAAACAATAATCAGTACGTCAAAGCTTTTAGAAACAGTCTTAAGTTTTAAATACTAGAGTAAGAGAACTCACCTGTTACTCTAGGCTCCTCCCCAAGACTAACGGCTAGAAAACCCAAACCGAATGACTAATTAGGCAATTTAAGAAGGATATTAACTCAACTTAAATTCCTTAAAAGTCTTCTATTATTACCCTCTAATGAACCCCTAGAACAATGGATCAAACCGCAGCTCGAAACGAGAGGAACAAATGTTCCACATAAACATGCCTTCACGCGACCTGAGCAGCGACCTAGGCCGCGCGGCTCACTGTTCGGGTTTTCTTCCCCATTTCGTCCACGTCTAATCTCTACAACGCAAAACCTCAAAATCCTTCATTGAAAAACGGTTTCTAACTCCATAATTCGATTGTGACAACAAGGAAAACTTCCCAAATCAATACTAACCCAAAATCAACTGCTAAATTGGAGGTTAACCCAAACAAATACCAAATCCACTAAGAGTTTGGCAACCAAGGAGTTTCACCGTGTAAGACCAAATTACTAAAGTACACAATTTAGTAGACTGTTATTCTACCGAGTACACAAGGATTAATTATTCCAGTTTTTCCCCAAATAGCAATCAGAACTTCATTAATGGAGGTTCTAGACTAGTAGGATGAAGTTCGTTCCTGAATAAACCAATGCTCCACTTAATTCTCCTTCAAAATCACCAAAAACTTCTAGAAATCGATTTCCCTAAAGATTTGCAAGAATTACACCCATCCCCAAACTCCTATAAAATTAACAAAACCAAGGAAGAGGGTTATTACAAAAATATTGCTAAAACTTCTCATTTTCTCTGTTTTCTCTATTTTGAAGAAGTTGTTGGAGATGCTTTTATAAGTTAACTTATGTGTATCCAAATGATTACTAAAAAAACAAGCTAGTTTATGTTTGCCAAACCTTAAAAAACTAACTGTGGATCTTATATTAATATAACATATTTTATTTACTATTAAATCATTTTTAAATGCAATAATTATGATTTATTAATACTTATTACGATAATAAATAATTTGTAGTTAATTTATCTAAGGATGCCTTGTTAAAATATGAAAGAAAACTTTTAGTT